AATCACAGGACTAATGAGGAGAAAGATTAGATCAAAGTTAGCATTATATGGGAAGCTATTAACAATGGTCTTTTACATTAGAAAGAAATCATTATTGACAGTGGTCCTTGGGGTTTTAATAATCATTTCTTTCCAACCTTCTGATTAGTCACGCCTAACATACACTCACTCAGAATTCAAGAATTCAAGTTTACAAGGAGTGTCATTGAATACTCCTACTTATACTTATAAGACATTTCTTCTGGAATTTACAAGAACTGATTTCTATTCTTCACACATCCCAAATCACTGGTCACCTTGAAAGGAGAGTCATCACACTGTGCCTTTAGAGGGGCATATTTGCCATTAGGACTACTTTCAGAGTATGAGTGGTCCAATTATTCATAGGATAATCATCTGCATTGTTTTTTCTGTTAATTGGGGGAGGGGATAGACTTTTTGCATTAAAAGTTAACTACATAAATATTGATCTCATGTGCTCAAAATGTACTATTGAAAAGAGTTTTAGAAAATGAACAGTAACCTATTATAATATAAATTAATTATAAAGGGAAATTCCTTATCATGTAGTATTATGATCATTAATACATATTATTGAAGAAATTATATCCATTTTAGTGAGAATCTTTGTTGTTGTTGTTTTCTCTATAAATAGCTACTATTGGGGGGTGGTACAGGAAGCCCACAAAAATTTCTTCTATGGAAATAAGTGAATTGCCTTTTCAAAACATGAGAGAATACAGTCCTTGGGTACTTGGGTACTCACCAGATGCAAAAGCAACTGTATTTTGGTAGTAGTAGTGGTAGTAGCATTGCCTGATGTCATTGAACCTCAAATTAATATGAGGAAGATTTAAATCTTCACAAAAAATATCACTTCTGCAGAATCTGTGATATCATAATATGTGGCAGGGTTTCAATCTTCATTCCAGCAGTGCCACCTTTTGAGTAATGGGACTCTTGTTTGGAAGGAAAATGTGTAATAAGAACAAAAACCACTCAAGCTAAAGAGATTATGACCAAGAATATGACAGCATCCTCCTCTTTATTAACTCTTTTCTCCTACAGACAGCCCCAAACATCAACATAAGACCAACCCAGGAATGAAAGGAACCTGAATGCAAATTTTAGTACTGCCATTTACCAGCACTGTGTAAAAACATACCGTGTTATATTATACCATAAGGTGATAAAAATAATATTAATACCAATATCAATAAAACATGTAATAACTTAGACCAAATGAGCACTTACTAAGTATCAGATACTATTTTAAGTGCCTTATTTGCATTATTTTAATCCTTACAATAATATAAAATAGGTATTATTATTACTACTATTTTATCCTTAAGGAAACTGAGGCCCAGAAGAATTAAATAATTTGTTAAAGATCTCACAGTCAGTAACAAGTGGTTGAGCTGGGATGCAAACCCGAACAGTTGAACTCTGTGGACTACATTAAGAACCACCAAAGTTCCTTTTTTTTGGCCCAGACGGCCCAACCATTTTGAAAATGAGAATAGTATATGAATAACCTTGAGAAAAAAATGTCATCAATAAAGGCATCTAATAATTATAGTTCCTTTCATCAAGAAGAGTATAGATTGCAGGCTCTCCAGACACTAATAACTTCAAAATTTAATTATCTGTCAAATGTCTGTGTGGGCTAATTACAACATAGGATATTGTTCACAGGACCTACCAACTACTGAGTTTTCAAAAATAGTGATTTGATATTCCACAAGAATTATCCAAAGGAAGGCACAAATTGAGAAAAGAACAAAGTTCACTAAACAGCCAAATACAAGATAGATACAGAAACCAATATTGAACTCCTAACCAATGAAAAGGACATCCTATTCACAAAAGTAAATAAAATAAACATGTGACAAATATGTATTAGATAGCTATGTGTGCTACAGACAATCAAAGCACTGGAGAGATAATGGCAGATCCTATGTCCTCATAGAATTTAAATTTGTAAATTTAAATTTTTAAATTTTGTGTAGGAGGCAGACAATAAACAAAGAGACCAACATGAATGTAATAGATAAGGTGATGATAATAATATAAAAACATATAAACAGATTATGAGGTCAGAGAGTGAAGTGGGATGCTGTATTAGTCAGGGAAGACCTTCTCATATGGTGACATTTCAGCAGGAATCTGACTGGATTTGGAGGACAGCTTTCTAGGAAATAGGACAGCAAGCACCAGGGCCCTGAGGCAGGCAGCGCAGGCGACTAAAATGAGATAAGTCAGGGGGAAGTGGAAGAGATAAAGAGATAAAGACAGCAAAGGCCAAATCACATTATGACCTTGCCGGCCATGGTAAGGATTTTAGATATTATCCTGAGATGGGAGCCAATAAGAGTTTTGGAGAGGGGAGATATGTGATTTAATTTATATTTTCAGAAATATTTAATTTATATTTCAGAAAACTATATATCAATCTTGTAGGCCCTGAGCAAGTCCAGTGGTGAATATGCAAGCCTCATACAATGAAAACCACAAAATACAGATGGGAGACATAACGGCTTTAATATATGAGAAGCCTACTGTATCCTTAGAGAAGGAAAACTCAACATGATAAAGATTTCCTGTCCTTCATCAGCATATCAAGAGCTAACACTTTATGGTGCTTACTATGTGCCAGGCACTTTTCTAAGCACCTTACATGGGTTAACAAACAACCCCTTAATTCGGGTACTATTATTATTCCCATTTAAATATGAGGAAACCGAGGCACAAACTATTATTATTAGCCAGTCTGAAGGTCTGATCCTCTGGCTCTTATCTCAACACAAGGAAAGGCGCCTCTGGGAGCTTCCAAATCAGACTTTCTAAAAGTGTGGCTAGGATCAGAACCAATACCTGTAGTCTACCCACCAGTATTCTTCCCTACCAATCTGCAAAGAACCAATCTTTAAAGAATGCCTTGGAATATCTTAGATTTTCTCTCTATAAAGCTCTCATGCCTGTTCTAGACAGAAAAGTCCAGGGAGCCCATCCAAATGGAATCCAAGATGGAGGAGCAAGGAAATGGGAGGAGGAGGGAGCACTTTGTTTTGGAAGGTCAGTGGGTTAGGTCTCCCAGGTTCCATACAACCTACACCTAACGCCCCTCCCTCCACAACCTTCCCAGATTTTCAGTTAAAGATCCTTGGCCAAGGTAAGGCCTTTATGATCCAGTTAAAAAATCCTTTCTCAGAGAAATACAGGGGTTTGCCAGAGGCTACCTTACTTTGGGAATGCCTGCATGGATAAATTAGGAGGCAGGAAGAGGCACCAATGCCACAAAAGGCTGCCTTCTTTAGGAAGTGTCTTATTCATTCCTCCACAATTCAATATGGTCAAGATATCAGTTCTTCCCAACATGATCTATAGATTCAATGTGATTCCAATCAAACCTCATCAAGTTATGTTGTGGATATCAACAAATTGATTCTAAAGATTTTATGGAGGGTAAGGAAAAAGACCCAGGCTGGCCAACAAAATATCGAAGAAAAACAAAATTGAAGGACTGACATGATCTGATTTTAAGACAAACTATAAACCTATTGTAATCAATACAGTGTGATATTGGCATAAATAAAGACAAATATATCAGTGGAATAGATTATAGAGCTCAGAAATAGTTCCATATAAACACAGTCAGCTGATCTTTGCCAGAGGAACAAAGGCAATACAATGGGAAAAGGACAGTATTCTCATTCATCCCTCATACCTCCCTCTCCCAGGGGCTCACTCCTCAGCAAGGGGATTAGAAGTTCTGACCACCTCAGCCAGTCTGAAGGTCTGATCCTCTGGCTCGTATCTCAGTGCATGGAAAGGAGCCTCTGGGAGCTTCCATCAGACTTTGTAAAAGTGTGGCTAGGAAATCCACTCTCTTGGTTTCTTCTCAGTAAGTCATCAGATACCCTAACCTAGAACAACACATCCTAATCTATGGAGACTCTGAAAATCAGGACATTAGTCATGGCCTCCTAAGGGCCCATTTATTCACAGAGAAATTAAGAGCCTGACAGAAGACAGCTAGACCATGTTACAGAGCTACCCAAAATATGATGAAGCTGTGAGACACAGAAAACCTCCCTCACTCCAGGCTCCAACATCCAGAGCCCTCTGTGAGTCAGATGTATTTCTGCACTATGTAGAGAGCAAATGCCTAAACAGGGGCAGTGTCAGGTATCCTGAGCAATTCCTGGGGTCAAGCTGCATTCAGCCCCATACCTTCTTTCCTCATTTCCTCCAGCCATAGCTCACACAATGGAGAATTGAGACCCAAAGAAGCATACCCTGTCTGCAAAAAAGACCATTGGACTATATCATGCAAGGTCAGAAAGATGACCCTGAGCCTTTTGGAAAAAATTTGTTATAATCAATATAACTTTCTGGTTGCACCCTTCAAGGAATTAATCAGTCAGAATGGTCCACTGGCAATATTGTTGAATTACCCACAATTTTGCCAACTCCCTTCTAGAGAAAGTCCCCTACTGGCCAATTAAAACATTAAGACAAAATACTTGAGATGTATAAAAAGCAATATGGCTTCTTATGCAATATAGAATATTATTAGGTGAATCAGTACAAAACTGCCTCCCATCTTCTAAACACATTGGAGAACAGCAGAGCAGTGAATACTGAGTAGGTGGCAAAGTCTGCTCAATTTTGAGTTTCAGCTCAACTCTAATAAGTCATGGTATGCTCTGAAACTTTTAAAATAGAATCAATCTCATTGCACTTAAACGGTCTTGCATTTATAATCCCAACAGTGGTACACTCAGAATGTATCATAGACCCCTATGAGATATGAGAGAGTTCTCCAAGTTTGTATATTAGAAAGAAGAGAGATGGCACATATCTTTAACCTATTTTAAATTAAACCTAACAAAGGGTTTCTCTCTATGCGAAAAAAAAGAAAGAAAGAAAACAAATGTAAGAAAACCTTTTCTGAGATGTGAAAAACTAAAGATCCATCATCGGGATCCCAAGTGTACCTGCAATGATCCCATCCATCTGTTCCAAGGCAGCTTCCAGGGCATGACTAGCATCAAATGCCATGACTCTTTTTGCCTGCTTAGTCTCTTCTTCCTGTTACTGAAAATTCAAATATAGAATAAAGAAAAAAGTTACAGAAGTTCCACATTACATACTTAAGACCATAAAATGCTTTAAATTCATTATCACACCATGCATTTACATTAAGAATTCCAGTAGCTGAAGTATAATTTCTGACATCTCTATGGTCTTCCCCTCCTTGCACAAGTGCTTTTTGTCTATGAATCTTTAGCACATGATCCCATTTACTTATTTTTTTTTAAGAGAGAGCGAGAGAGATAGAAAGACAGAGAGAGAGAGAGAATTTTTTTAATATTTATTTTTTAGTTATTGGCGGACACAACATCTTTGTTTGTATGTGGTGCTGAGGATCAAACCTGGGCCGCACGCATGCCAGGCGAGCATGCTACCGCTTGAGCCACATCCCCAGTCCCCATTTACTTCTATAATGAAAAGTCACTAGGGCTCTCCAGAATCACCAGAAGCAGCAAGACCCAATTGTTACCTCTCCATACTGATAGCGCCAAGCTCCAGAAGCACTAACCACCACTGGGGAAGGCTCCACTGTCTTACAGCTGCATTTGCCTCACACCTGCAAGGCTTTCCTTGGATGGGTATGATTCAGGTAAGAGGCCTCAGCTTCCACTTTCCCTTCTCCAAATGGGCTAGCATGTCCTGCCTAGGAAGGCCAAAGGTACAATGATATAAAGAGAACACTGTCCAGGAATACTGTGTCTGACCAATCTCAGATGCACCCTATCCGGCACTATTCAAGGTTTAGAATTTCGCCCTATTGGGGATGAGGAACATCTCCGAGGATACATGGAACAGCCACTTTCCTGAGGCTGTATTTCCCCTTTAAGAGCTTGATAAGTAATGACAGGGCCATCTCTGGACAACTCTGCTTCTTAGAGTTCAACTGTCTTCTTGCAGCCTCATCTCATTTTTCTTGTTTCCTGAGATCAGGGAAGATCTTATAACAGCATTTGTAATTCTAAGAGACTTAGCTCATGTCTGTCAACTGGAGCAGGAGTCTTTGTTTGCTCATTCAGCAAAATCCATGAGTATGCCTAATGGCATCAGAGCTCAGGAAAACAGAGATGTGGCTCTCACACATGCACAGGCCAGGAAATGGATGGTTCTGAGCATCTCTCCTAGTTTTCCCTGTGAAGTTGGACCTTTGGAGTGAAGAGAAGAAAGGGGGCTCTACATGGAAGTAGCTCTGGAGATGGTATAAATAAGGATTTCAGAACCACATGGAACCATGCTGGACTGTACCAGACAGTAGCAGTTGAGTTCATAGGCACTAGAGTTATGGCCAGAGCCCATACCTTGCTCTACCATTTACTGTGTAATCTCTGAGCCTAAATTTCCTTATCTGTAAAAGGGGATAACAAAACCTAATTCACAGGATTGAGTCATGATTAATTAATCATTAAGGCTTCATAGTGAGCACTAAGCACATTCCTTTGCACAAAATAAGTGCTCAATATTAGTTAGCTATTGTTATTCTTTGTTTTTCAAGTGACGAGATAACCTCAGGACATATTTTTGTCAAAACAGCTCACAAAGTTAGACTTTAACTAAAAGGATGTGGCCCAGGGAGAGAGAACCCTTTGGAAACTGTGGAGCTCATATATGTGTCATCTTGAACCCTGATAAGCTCAAGCCTCTGATTTGCTTGAGCCTGGCAAAGGAGGACAGCCATTCTGCACATGGAGGGGCAGGGCATTGATTCACAGGGACAAAGGCCAAGGAAGGCTCAAAAGCAATACGCATTAGGCCTCAGGACAGAACTAGTGCACAGTTAGCTTAAGAGAATGACAATGGGAGTTCCCACAGGGGGTGGGGAGTCCTACTGGCACCTCAGGTTCCTGGAAGGAGCCAGACAAGACTGAAACAAAGACCAGAAGTATTGTGAAGTGAGAAGAGCAGCTCCAGCTGCTCCAGAGTAACACAGTATGTAAATCTGGGATGGGAAGGGAAGCAAGCTTGAGTTGGGATGTAAGAAGAGGCTGCAGGAAAAGGAGGGGTAGCAGAAATGGCATCAGCAGATTCCCTCTTGTTCAGCCATAACATTAAAAGTTTGAAATACTTCCCTCCAAAAACGTCCCACTGCTCTTCTGAAAAAAATCCAAAATCCTTACTGTGATCTACCAAAAAGTCACTACAGAGTCTGGCCGGCCCAGCCTCACATCTTCTCCTCAGGCTTCTCAGGCTTCAGCAGCATTTTCTCCTGAGGGCTCACAATCACACCAAGAAAATGTCCTTTCTGTAAGTGGACACCTGCCATCCTCTCTGCCCTGAACTCACTCCCCAGCTCTCCGCAGGGTTAGGGCTGACTATTCTTATCCTTCAGGTCTCAACTCCAAAGTATCTTCTGAGAGAGGCCTCCCCAGATACCCCTAATCTAAAGCAGCCCTGTGAAGCACAGTAATTCCAAATTATTTTTTCTTGCTTCCACCTGAAGGCAGGGGGACCCTGTCTGCCTTATTTTCCCCTATCCTCAGTATCTAGCATGATGCCTGGCACAAGGAAGTTTATGAATAAATACTTGTGAATAAATGGATGAATCCATGCAACCAACATCTCCTAAAGTGTCCTGGGCACTGGGGGAATACTGATAAATCAGATGTTGTACCTGCTCCCGTGGACCACAGAGTCGAGCAGAGAAGACAGAAATTGAACAAATAATTATGGTACACTTTTAGGTGTGCTTTTAAATGTAGGTATGCAGTTTCCCTGAATCTTGAAGGATGAGTAGGTGTTTTCTCAGAAGATAAGGAGAATGGCATTCCAGACAGGGCAGTACATGAAAGACAGGGAAGCATGCAAGGGCAGGATGGAGCTGGCTACGGTCAAAACAGTTGACGTTAAAAAGGACCATCCAGCCACTCAAGATGAGTCAAAACCTTCCAAAGAATTCACATAAGCAGGACAAGGGCAATAAAAGAGGAGCTTGGGAACCACAACCACTCCTTTCAGGGATCTGGATACCAGTGCATAACAAATCAAGTGATCTCAGATGGAAGTACTACAAAGATTTTTAAAGAAAGATCTCATATTTCAAGAGACTGGGCCCATGGATGAGCTGTGGCTGGCCCATTTGGGGCCTCAGTATCAGGGTGAAAGTTGGGAGGGCAGTTAGGAGGTACTGCCCAAGGGCCCAAAATATGACCCCCTGCAACAGAGGAGCCTCAAAAGAACATGGGCCCTCTGCCCAGTGATGAGTTTATACTTGGCAAACAAAACTGGGTGGACTCGTGGGAGCTGGCCTGAAGTGGGGCATGAGTCAAAGTTATCCTAGTCACAATTCAGGAGCTGGGACAGTGAGATTGGGGAACCTTCTCGGAGCAGAGCTGATGAGCTCAGCTCTAGACCTGCTGGGTCTGAGGTGACAGCAGAATACCTGGATAAGAAGGAGTCCCTGCCTACCCTGGCACAGTGCTGCTATGAGGTAGGCATCAGATATGGAAGGGCTGAAGGTAGCATAGGTGTAAGGCCTCCTGCCCCCATCTGTGAACACAATCTTACTGGATCAGGGAAGCCGTGATGTCACTAGCCATTCCCACTCTGGCAGCTAATAGTGGTTTTCTTCCCTACTGTCTAGGTTAGAGTTCCCATAAGCAAAGAACACATGATAGGGCAATCCCTTCCCTTAAGAAAGGAGGTTTAAAGAAAAAAATGAAAAACAACAATAGTGTTGTATTCTTACAACACCACTGACACCAAACGTGTTTTTTTTTTTTTTCCTACACCAAGCAATTTCTAAATTGTCTGTAGGACTCCAACTGGTGTCCTACAATTCAATTCATTTCTTTTTTTTTGAACCCAGAGCTTTGTGCATTTGAGGCAAGCACTCTACCAACTGAGGTGTATCCCCAGCCCCCTACAATTCAATTCAATTCTGACACTACTTGAAGTTAGCATAAGATCCCACAAGTTGAGGGCTCAATCCCACAAGACTATCCCTACTCTAGATGCCAATCAGAACTCCAGGCTTCCCTTTTGACTGACCAGCTATAAATCAGGGATTCCCAAACCCCTTCCTCAGATTGAATAATTTGTTAGAACAGCTCACAGAAGTCAGGGAAACATTTTACTTATGTTTATTATAAAGAATACAACTCAGTGACAGCCAAATGGAAGAGATGTATTTGGCAAGGTGTAGGGGAATGGGGTCAGGTAGAGCTTTGGTGCCTTCTCTAGAGGTGACTCACAGCACCTTTATGGGTTCATCAACCTGAAGGTTCTCCAAACTTGTGATTTCACATGGACATTTCATTATACAGGCATGATTGATTAAGTCATTATTCATTCAATCATTGGTAATTGAACTCAATTTCCAAACCCTTTCCTCAACCCCAAGATGAAGGGTAAAGGATTAGAGCTGGGGCTGAATTTCTAACCCTCTAATCATGGATGGTTCCTCTGGGAATCAGTCCCCATCCTTTAGGAGTCATCTCATTAGCATAAACTCAGGTATGGTTGAAAGGGGCTTGTATAAATAACAAAAGGTTCTTCTCTCACCCCCATGCAAGGATTTTAGGAGCTCTATGCTAGAAGCCAGGAAAAAGATCAAATATTTTATTTCTTATTATAGCACAATATCACAAGTCTCCGAGGCAAACGTGTCATGTGACAACAAATAGTGTGTTCTAGCATCTTCCATGCCTGTTCCTCCCCACAAAGACACATATCTCCTCCAGGAGCTGAGTTCATTGGAAATTGGGGCTTATGTGTGCAAAGTTCCAGAGGCAATATGCCAAGAGGTCTTCTAGATGGAAGTAAGGTTCAGAAGCCAGAGGGAGCATCCAAAAGAGGCACCAATCCAAAGGGGCTAAGAAAGAGAGCCAGAAGCCACGTCAAAATCTAGAGACAAGTGAAATCAAGGTGATGTCAAAAGTTAATAGTAGGAACTTAACTCGTTTTCCCTACCAATGAAAGGACAGCTGTCACAGCTATCCAAGGCCTGACAAAGAACAGATAACAGAATAATAGAGACTCTAAATAGGGGTACCAATCAGCCCAGGAAGGAG